AGAATATAGAATGTGACTTATTTTTTTTTTTAAAGATTTTATTTATTTATTTGACAGACAGATCACAAGTAGGCAGAGAGGCAGGCAGAGAGAGAGGAAGGGAAGCAGGCTCCCTGCTGAGCAGAGAGCCCGATGCGGGACTCGATCCCAGGACCCCGAGATCATGACCTGAGCGGAAGGCAGCGGCCCAACCCACTGAGCCACCCAGGCGCCCAGAATGTGACTTATTTTTAGATGGTTACATAAAAATGTAGAAACATTGAGTTGAGAAATGGGAGATTTTTAAAAACTATTACACTTGATTCATTTTGCACTAAAAAATGTATATATGTTCCCTAGTTTTTTGTTTTTTTTTTAAATAAAGTTTTTATTTTTAAGTAATCTCTACACCCGCTGTGGAGCTCAAACTCAGAACTCTGAGATCATCACATACTACCAACTGAGCAAGCCAGGCACCCTCCTAAAATTTTTTTTAATGCTTCAGCACATCTAGTCCCTCCCTGCCCCTCTCCCTCCCCGTAACGTGTCCTCAGCTCAGATCTGACTGGAGCTGGTAGTGATTGTGTATGCAGAGGGTACAGATTCCTCTCCCCCCCCCCCCCCAGCTCTGGAGCAGCATGTGGCCATTGATGGCAGGAGGGACTTCTTCCTTTGGTTTGGACTATGGTTTTGGAGCACTGGCATTCTGTATATTTTCCCTAAATCAAGTAAAACCTGGTTTTGATGTGATTTCATAGACCTAGTTTCAGACTGGCTGGACTGTACTCCTTGAACTTGGTTTAGTGTTTTGGGTTTCTTTTAATAGGAGAGAGCATTCAGGGTGGCGGACACAGGTAACACTTTTGGTCGTCACCCGCATCCTCCACTTTGTTTCTGTAGTGGGAAGCTTAGAAACCCTCCTGCCTGGCTGGTGACCTCCTTTTGTCCAGGCCTGAGTTTGTGGGAGGCCAGATGTCCTCGGTTGTTTGAAGGGACATGAAAGAAAATCTCAAAAACGTTAAGTGTACAGCAGCCACTGGTTTTCCATCAGGGCATCTTGATGACGAGGAGCCTCTCTGTCCTTTCATTTGACATTCCTCAGTGATGTGGGTAGTTCTATTTAAAACTGGAGGCTCATTCTTTCAGGATGCATGGTGTGCTCTCTCATATAGGAGTCCCCTGGGTGTGTGTGTGTTCGTTCCTTATTGGATCACAGGTAGTATAAAAAGTCGATTCTAGAAACGCATACATAGTCTTGTTCACTAACAGAGCACTTTATTTAAGCACTGGCTAAGGTAAACTTGCCAACTTGGTATTTTTATTTATTTTTTCTTTACCCTCCCTCCTTCCTCTCCTGCTGGGCCCACATTCCTAGGTCTTTGTCTGTGCCTGGTATTTTAGAAATTATGGGAGAGGAAGGCAGTGGGTGGGGCGTTCTGGAAGCTGGGGGCAGGGAAGAGGGTGGTCACTTGCAAGGTCAGAGGTCGAGCCTGCTCCATTCAGCTGGGGCAGCCAGATTGTCGCCAGGCAAGGGGGGAGGGGGGTTGGAGGGGGCGTGTCTTGCATCTGCCCGGGTAGCCCCAAACAGGCAGCTCCAGGCCCTGGAATTCCTGCTGCCCGAGGACCACTCCTACCCCCCCTTTCCGGAGCCACAGTTCATGGCCTCTGCCACGTTTCTAGCCCTTTGGAAGACATAGGTTCCAGTTTATTCTTTTAAAACAATCTTCCAACTATTGCAGAGAGAATTGCACCCATGTGTACCCTTACCTATGGCCCCTGTTTTCACAAGCTCCAAAACTGTTGGTTTCTGTCCTTAGAAATTGCAGGTAGAGGAGATAGGGAGCTTCCAAATGGAAGTGAAATCTTCCCAGAGTTTTATGCCAAAGTTTAGCTAGACGGTTTATAAAAATTGACCATATTTTCAGTTTCTGGACACTGTTTTAAAAGTCAGTAGTTTATTAATTATAAACACCACTGGGGCTGTGCTGTTTACTCACCCATAGCTTTTTATTGTCAACCAGTGTGGTGTCCCTACAGTCCTCCTGGAACTGCAGAGCACTGGCACCTCCAAAATCACAGTGTGCTCTAGGCACTTAGAGCTGCATCAGTCCTGTGAAATGATGCCAGGCAGGACTGCATCCAGAGACCCCACTGCCCACTTGAGAGGTATCTGGGCTCTGGGGACTAGGTATCTATCTAGAGGGACCCAGTGCCATGGGCTTGGGGCACCCTGCTGCCACACATTCTGACCAGGATTTCTTTTCTGGCTACTTCCTCTGCAGAATACTTTAAAACCTACCATTTGCAGGTTTTTGCCTACGCACATCATCATCCAGGCTCTGGACTGTAAAAACCTAAAACCCAGAAAAATCTCCTTGGTTCCTTGCAGTCACATAACTGGTGCCTGGCTTCCTTCTTGGCCCAGAATTATTTCAGAGCCTTTTGGTTTGTGGTGTTGAGTTCCTGGGATTTCAGGGATGGAGGTGGTCTCCTGAGGCACCTGGCCAGACCTCTGTCTCACATACAAGACAAGCCCAGTCCCGTGACTGCATAGATGTCCCCATGGGCAGATGGTGCCAGGCTCAGGCTAAGAGCCTCAGGTTCTTCTCCACTCACTGTACACTTGAGAGCCGTTATGCTTGCACAGATGAAAGAAAGCAAGGGGACTCCACTCAGTCCACACAGAGACCAAGAGGAGATGGCTTAGCTGTTTGTTTGGCAGGGGCAGAGGACAGAAGGTTTGGAGACATGTTCCATTCTGATTTAAAAGAAACCTGCAAATGGGAGGTTTTCACGCTTCCCCATAGCGTGAGAGTGATGCCTTTATGCCCATGACAAATGGAGGGAGCAAAGGGAAGGCATGGGGCTGAGTGTTGAAACAGGAGTGGGGGTTTGTTTAGCACCACATTGTAAAGAGAGTGTCCAGGAATACGTCCAAGTTTATCCAGATCAGCATCTTTTGATTAGTATTTAAGGTTAGCTTGAGAATTTTAGCTTTTTCAGATTAGAAAGATTAGATGAAGTTTAAATGGTCAACCAGTTCTAAAAAGCAATTGGTCTTGGGGCGCCTGGGTGGCTCAGTCGGTTAAGCGTCTTTTGCTCAGGTCATGGGATTGAGCCCTGTGTTAGGCTCTGCGCTGAGTGCTTGAGATCCTCATTCTCTCTCTGTCCCCAAACACGATTGGTCTTGAAGGCAAATTACTGTCACCAGATTTCAGTCTCCCGAGGTTGCTGGGGAAGTACTGTACTGGACAAGGGGTCCTACTCCAGTCACAAACCTGATCCTATTTCCCTCTTACAATGTGGATTCCATAAAACCCGTCACATTAGAACCATTTCCTAGAAATAGGAACATAATATCCTAAATCTTTTCCCTATTTCTGAATCCAAAATTTCCTAGAGAAGCAAGCATAACCCATGCAGGATCCCTCACCTCCCTTTTAACTCTGAATCCTGAGTGGAGTAGGCCTGTTTCCCTGACTGAGCTCGTCTCCTAGTGGACGTGCTGTGTGCCAACGTGTTGGTTAGTTAATAAAATAACCTGAAAGGGGGGGCACCTAGGTCATTGTCTGCTGGGTCATGATCTCTCTGCGCTCAGTGGGGGGTCTGCTTGAGATTTCCTCCACCCTCCCACTGTAGCACGTGCTCTCAAATAAGTAAATCTATAAAAATAACCTGAAGAGAAGAGAAGCAGCATTCTCATTCCTGCCCGGGGACCTTTCTGTGTGGGTCTTTCTGATGGGAACACTGCAGCTGTCCCTCCCCACTCCGCATCCTGTAACACTCTGCTGCTTCTGGGCAGGGGTGAGCACCTGTTCTGTCCACAGAACCACCTTGCCTCAAGTCTCATACCCTGGACTCCAGAATACCTAGTAAGAAGCTTAGTGCTCTTAAGAGTGGGTGTCAGACCTGTCTTGGAACCAGCTCTTCAGAAGGCTCGCATAGGCTTCCCTGTTCTGCCCCTGCTTGCTGTGTGGCCCTGAGACGTCGTGACCCTTTGTCTTCATCTGGGGATTAAGCGGATTGTGTATGCGAAGGCAGCCCCTCGGACACCACTTTCCTGCCTGTTGTGTGTTGGCTGGCTTTCCCTCACACCCAGGTGTACCAGTGGCAAATTTAAGCACTGCTCTTCCTTGAAAGTAATGAAACTTGAAAGTAAACATTCAGAGAGTGCTGCTGAGTGCTCCGCTCTGTGGAGGGATACAGCTAGATTGGCCCAGTTTTTGTGTCAAGGAGCTTTCGCTTTTGAGAGCTCCTCATTTATCAGCAGGTGGAGGTTGAGCCAGCCCTTCTCCCCTCCCCGCATGCTGGGCCCCAGGGAAATACAGAACATCGCATAAAGCAGTTTTGTCAGCACGGGCTGCCTGGCAGGGTCGGCTCCTTGGAACAACTTGGCAGGAAGAAGAAAGACAAGAAGCTGGCTGACCTTACCACTATCTGCCTCCGCTCCAGAAGCTGAAGCCTGTAGCTTGCTTGAGTGTCTGGAAGAACCATGCTTTGCACTTTGTGCTAATCTCAATGATGGAGAGGGTGGCAGCAAGGTGTGGTGTGAGGGTGGTTAATTCTGGTTCCCGGCCATGTTTCACAGACCCAGAGGCTGGGGTGGCAAGACAGATTTTTCTGGTATGTTTTTCATTTGGGCCCCCAGTCTCAGACCAAGGAAACACAATCTTAGAGCTTTCCTGGAGAATTAATCTGAGATGGGGGAAAATTTCTTAGGCAGGAGGATTGTTTTATTTCATCTTTGCCTTTGGAGTGTCTCAGTGACACTTCTGAGTGAAACTGGAGTGGACAGACAACATTGGCTGTTTTTTTTTTCCTTGATTTGGCCCTGAGGGGGTGGGAAGGGAGGGCAAGTTGTGCTCACATTGACTGCACTGATCCCCCTTTGTATAGGGGTGTGCTTGCGAATTTGGGAAGGAGTTGGCTGAGGGTCTGGAATCCACAGAGCACCCAGTGTCTGCCCCCTTCCTGTTAGTCCCGAATCTCTCCTTAATGGCTGTACGCCCTCTGATCTGCAGGTGCTGCATCTGTACTGTGACACCTGTTCGGTGCCCATCTGCCGTGAGTGTACGATGGGCCGGCATGGGGGCCACAGCTTCATCTACCTCCAGGAGGCGCTGCAGGACTCGCGGGCACTTACCATCCAGCTGCTGGCCGACGCGCAGCAGGGCCGCCAGGCAATCCAGGTCAGTTCTTCCCCACCCTTCACCGGTTTCCCTTGTTCTTTCTTGCACAGAAAACCTTTCCCGATCCCTTTTAGATGGCATGTGTAGATTACCGGGCAGGCTCCAGTGTGTGGGGGCCATGGAACAATGACCCAAATGAGCTCATGGTACATCCCCGCAGAGTAATCCCTTGGGGAGGTGGAGAGTTGGGGAAGATGGGAGGGTTGTGGCCGAAGTTGACTAACCGGTCAGGGCTTGTTGCAGACCCTTGGCTGGGCCCCCACCACGTCATCTGCCTCTTTCTCATCCAGCCTTTTCCCCAGATACCAAGTGGGCATTAGCATCCCTTAGTCAGGACTGTGGAAAGACTGGGTCCTTAGTGCTTTCCAGACAGGGAACCTCTGCTGTTCAGATGGATTTATTTATCGTTGAAAATTCAGTGAGCAGCAAAAGTTTATCTCCCAACTCTTCCCTAAGTAATGAAGTCCCATTCTGGTAACTGAGACCTTTGCTTCTGTTGAGTCCCTGTGCCTTTGGGGTCAGGAAGGGACACGTGTAACTTTGGGGGCATAGAATAGCTCTTTTACAGTCAAGCGGCGGCATGCCTGAAATGATTTAAAATCTTCTCTTGGTCCAGGTGACAAGGTTTTAAGAAGGGAAAAAAATCATGAGATGTTTTCCTTACCTGTGGTAGGATAAAGGTTGAAAATTAGGAAACATTGCTAATCGTTGAGCAAAAATTGAATGGAAAACTGTTAATTACATTCTTAGAGTATTTGAATAAGTGAATGGTTTAAAAAATAAGATCCCCTTTTTTTGAGAAATGGTGGAAAAATTGATCACATGCTCTAAAGAAGGAGCAGAAGGATGGTGTAGATTTTATTAAGTTTCTCAACAGTTACCATATTCTTTCTTTTAAAAAGATTTTATTTAATCATTTTTTAAAAAATTATTTATTTATTTATATGACAGACAAGAGAACAAGTAGGCAGAGAGGCAGGCAGAGAGAGAGGGGGAAGCAGGCTTCCTGCTGAGTGGAGAGCCTGATGCGGGACTTGATCTCAGGACCCTGAGATCATGACTTGAGCCAAAGGCAGAGGCTTAACCCACTGAGCCACCCAGGTGCCCCCAGTTATCATATTCTACACATGATACTGAGGTAGTCTTTCTGAAGAGTCAGATTGTCTGATATTCAACTCCTGTCAGCTTTCATATTTGAGAGTCTATGTTTCTGCAGTGACTACTTCTGGCATATTCTTAGGCCAGAGTGGCCTGTTTTCTTTTTCATGCCTTCATAGTGGCTCTTGGTTGCTCATAAATTCTTGTTTTCCAGCATCCTCACTAGTGCATAGTTCTGCTTTATTTCTGTCCTATTTCAGTGAATTTGTCCCCGTGGATGAAGTGGCTTGTGGCTTCCCTTTTTATCCCACTGCCATTAGGCCCTGGTCAAGTTGCCTTTCGGTGCTGGTGTCTCTTGGGCTCTGGCTGCTGTCAGCATCACCTGGGGGAGCATAAAGACCTGCTGTGTCTGGGTCTTTCCCCCCAGATAATGGTACCAGTCCCTTTCTCTCCTTGGAGATCGAGGACACTCAGGGGTCCTTGAACCATGTCTGAGAGAATTGCTGATGCTCTCTGCTTCCTGGGATCTGCCACTCTGGAGAAAAAAGTGAGTGTCATAATTTGCTAGAACCTTAAAGAGATCTGTGGTTAAAATGATGGAATCTCAGGGAGGTGGAAATTTGAACTTTTTGTGGAAAGAAGAGAGAAGCTGATGTGCAGAAGATTTTGTCTGCAGTACTTAACTTCCTACAGCAAAGGCAGTGTTAGGGAGAGTCTGCTGTGTGAGTAGTTAAAACACCCGGGGGGCACCTGGGTGGCTCAGTCGGTTAAGCATCTGCCTTTGGTTCAGGTCACGATCTTGGGGTCGGGGGATCAAGCCCCTCATCAGGCTTTCTGCTCAGCGGGAAGTGCGCTTCTGCTGCTTCTTCTCTGGTCTCTCTAACTCCCTCTCTGTCAAATAAGTCAAATCTTTTAAAGAAAGAAAGAAAGAAAGAACGAACGAACAAACAACCAGGGATGAAATTCAAATGTGAGTTGGTACTACGGTGCCTGATGGGCATTTTGAGTGGAGGAGCCAAGTGGCAGGTGGATATTTGGGCGGAGGTGGAAGGCTCAGCTTGTTTAGTAATCTACATGGCCACATCCAGGCACACGCGCTGAACATCCAACTGCATGAGTTGTGAATTGACTTCTTGAATGTCCTTGCATAACTAACAGCGTGTGGGGAGGGAGAAGGGTATGCTTTTGTGGCTTTTGGTTATAATTCTTCAGAACCTACACTCAGCCAGTGATCTAAATGTTGGGGTAGGATTGGCTACCCATTTCTGTCTGAATGTTCTTATGAGGTTCTCAACACATTGTCCCTTCCTGAGACTATCTGGGAGCCCTCTAATGAAAGTAGAGTGGTTCCTGCCTGTTAAGGAGGAGTTCCCTGGGTGTTGGTAGAAAAAACATGGCCCCTCTTTCCCTCTGAGTTTATTCTCTGATGCCAGCACATGCCTTTGGGAGAAGGGAAGTTGAGGTAAAGCTTGAGAACAAGTTAGTTTTGTTCCAAAAATCACTGCCTGAAGAGCCAGTTTGTTCCCATGTGAGCAGTAGGAACAAGCTGTGTCCCCAAGGTCAGAAGTAGGTATGACCCACTTTTCATTGTGAACAAGTATTTTGCAAATGGGTTCCTTCTACAGGTCAGTACAGTCTGTTGTATGTCATTAAAACTGAGTGAGAATGGGGAGGAATTTATATGTGTTCAGTGAATATTTTACTGAGCCTCTGCTTTACTGAGGAAGAATACAGTTCTGAAAGCTTCAGGTAGATTTCCTCTCTCAGGGACTCATTTAAAAGTCATTTAAAAAGTCCTCCTGGAAGATACTGGAAAAAGCAGCTACTGTCTAGTGCAGGTTATGCTTTTGTTTATTTATATAAAGAGATAATGAGACTTGTGTGTGAATCTACAGATGTTTTTCTTCCTGTTGGTCACTAAGCAATGGAAAGGATGACGATACTGAGATTTTGAGAGGTTCCCCTCAGGGTAAAGAAGTGACCTTGAAATGCCAGGAAAGGACACTGCTTGGGGTGAGGACACTGCTTGGGGTGGGTACGTAGTGCTTTGGGCACTTGATTTCTCTTCTTTTCTGCCCCCCTCCCTTAAGATTTTTTTTATTTATTTGTCAGAGAGGTAAGAGAGAGCCCACAGGTGGGGGTGGGGCAGTAGGCAGAGGGAGAAACAGACTCCCCCCTGAGCAAGGAACCTGACCTGGGGCTCAGTTACCAGGACTGTGGGATCATGCCTGAGCCAAAGGCAGATGCTTAACCAAATGAGCAGTCCAGGCATTCCCAGACACTTGATTTCTTCTTGCAGTTGGCCGAAATATTAATGAAGTAAATAGCCCAACCACATAATTTTTATGTTGCCACTTAATAGCTTTTATATTAAAGAATCCAGCAGATGGTATGAAGACTGATTTCTGGGTTTTTTTTTTGTTTGTTTGTTTGTTTGTTTGTTTGTTTTAGATTTTATTTATTTGTCAGAGAGGGAGAGAGAGCGAGCGAGCACAGGCAGACAGAATGGCAGGCAGAGGCAGAGGGAGAAGCAGGCTCCCCGCCGAGCAAGGAGCCCGATGTGGGACTCGATCCCAGGACGCTAGGATCATGACCTGAGCCGAAGGCAGCTGCTTAACCAACTGAGCCACCCAGGCGTCCCCTGATTTCTGTTTTTAATATGAATACTGGAGAAGGAAGGAGGAACATAGTCAATTATAATAAAATTTGGGGGGAGCAGTAAGTTGTGTTAACATACACATATAATTGGTGCCATGCCACCCCACCCTCCTTTTAAAAATCACTTAATCCATTTAAGCCAAAATACAGAATGATCATAGGGTAAGAAGAGACTTTTTATTTCTTTTACAGGGAACTTTTTTTTTTTTTTTTAAGATTTTATTTATTTATTTGACAGAGATACAAGTAGAGGGGCGGGGGGAAGCAGGCTCACCAGTGAGCAGAGTCCGATGTGGGACCCTGGGATCATGACCTGAGCCGAAGGCAGAGGCTTTAACCCATTTGAGCCACCCAGGTACCCCTACAGGGAACTTTTAAATCGCAAGTTTGATTTGGAAGTCATTGGTATTTTAAGCTGTTCATTTATTCTTAGTAGTACTCCTGAATAAGTCATTTGGGAGCTTTTAAATATTGCTTGTTTGTACTGGCAAATTGACAGATCCAAGAAATAGAGTATATATTCTGTAAATAGGCTTTATGTTTTGTTAATAAGTTAAGACATTAAACTAAGAGGTGATAAAGGCATAGATTTAATAGGTTTAAATTATCATAGCAAACACCAGAATAAAAACCTAACTGAGATAAAGTATTCTTACATGAAAAGGAACAGGACCAGTATTTAAAAAAAAAAAAAAAAAAGATACCAAATTGAAGGTAGATATAGATTAAGACACAAAAGCGTTCTAAGATTAGAAGTGATACAGGAGGGGTGCCTGGGTGGCTCAGTGGGTTAAAGCCTCTGCCTTCAGCTCGGGTCATGATCCCAGGGTCCTGGGATCGAGTCCCACATCGGGCTCTCTGCTCAGTGGGGAGCCTGCTTCCCTCTCTCTCTCTGCCTGCTGCTCTGCCTACTTGTGATCTCTGTCAAATAAGTAAAATCTTCAAAAAAAAAAAAAAAAAAGTGATACAGGAAACTTGTGAACTTGTGCATTTTTTTCAAATTTTAAAGTAATCTCTGCATCCAACACTGGGCTCAAACTCACAAGCCCGAGATCAAGAATCTCATGCTTTTCTGACTGAGCCAGTCAGGAGCCCCAATAATTTGTGCATATTATTAAATGGAGAATAACTGGGGCACCTGGATGGCTTAGTTTGTTAATAAGCACCTGACTCTTAATCTTGGTGGTTTCGAACCCAGCATAGAGCCTGCTTTAAAAAAAAAAACAAAAAACAAAACTACTAGA